TTTAACATTTATTTATTTTTTCTTAGTTCTTGGCGGACACAACATCTTTGTTGGTATGTGGTGCTGCTGAGGATCGAACCCGGGCCGCACGCATGCTAGGCAAGCGCGCTACCGCTTGAGCCACATCCCCAGCCCCTGCATTTAATTCTTCACAGCCACTCCAACACCAGATTTGGGCCCCACACAAGGTAAATAGTAGAGTGTTGTACACCCTTCCTTTGGTGAGTTCACAGGAAGTAAGAGAGGCTCCCGGGTCACCCTTATCTTATTTGTTGATTGCATCTCTATCACCTTCTTACCAACATCCTCTGCAGTAGAGAGCTAATATTAGCACCCTTCTTATTACTTACCCTTAGAAAAGAAAGCTGACTGAGTAGGAAATTGCTGGGATCACAAAACTCAGCATTTGAAAGATCCTGCCAACCACAGTGGCTCACTGGGCCTACACAGTTAATATATAGACAACATGGTATATACTGATCTTCTGTTTTCTTCTGAAAGTCAATTGTTCCATCCTTAAAGAAGTGCCTAGAATCAGCCCCAACCCACACCCTCAGAGTATGGAGTCACTAAAGAGTTTCCCTCATAGACAATAGTTAGACAATCTTCCACATAGGTCATCACAATGTGTTCATTGGGGACTGAGCTCAACTTGGGTGATTACACTGAGGACAACTAGAAGTTTGCAGGTGCTTTACTCCAGAACAAATTTACTCAATTAGTAATCAAGCACAATGATTAATAAACATAAAAATATAATAATTTCGGGTGGTTAATGTCAAAGCAGAATGGGGTGTGTCAAAAGATGGAATGTGTCTCAGAAAGAACTCGATGACCCCAAGATGTTATCTTGTCCAAACAACAGACTTACAAAATTATATGGGTTTGAAAAATAGTTTTCTTAACAGCAGAAAATCCTTTCCCAAACCAGATGGCAACCATGAATGTCCAATGATTCTCAAACCCTTCTGAACAGCAGATGTCTCACTCAGATCATGTAGAGTCATGAGACACATACCACAGTTCTGCTCAAGGAAACTTTTATCAAGATAGGCCACATGTACAATGGTGGTCTGTCATGAAAGACATTCCTCATTCCTCTAGCAGAGCTGGTGCAAGGAAACCTCAGGCACAAGCACTTCCACAGTGTGTAAAGCAGCAGGTTTGCAGCCCAGAATCCTGAACTATCCCAAGCTGACTTCTTGTGAAACAGGCCACTCCATGTGGGTTTCTAAGCAGCCGATGATTTCTGCACACTGTGGAACAGCCCACAGGACCACCTACCAGAATACGACCCTGCCACTCACAAAGAACCATGCTCAAGGACATAAGACACATGACATTTGACGCAGAACAGTATCAACAGACGTTAATAGGAGCCTGAGAGAAAACCTTTAGTGGGCTGTCCTTCGTTACATGGACAAAGTATGAGTGACAGCAGGTGTCCTGGAGACAGATCACAATGATGGCCCAGGCAAACTAAAATCTAAGTGGCAAAGGGTGCTTCATCCATCTATTCTGCAGACAAATATCATTTATTATACATTTAACTGTGAAAGACTAAAACACCATTCAAAAATTTAAAATATATATAATTACTACCCAACCCCATCAAAAAAAAAAAAAGAAAAAGAAAAGAATAAGGAAAGGCAACACATGTCAAACAGGCTTCCATGATACGCTTAAGACCTGCCACCAATTTTCTACTGTTATTTCCAGACAACAGAAGTTGAGTTAAAACTTCCTAATTCTTTCCTTTTATATTTATTTTTTTACTTGCAGTTGAACACAATAGCTTTATCCTATTTATGTATGTGGTGCTGAGGATTGAACCCAGGACTTTTCACATGTGAGGCAAGTACTCGACCACTGAGCCACAACCCCAACCCACCTTCTAATTCTTTATATGGCATATTTTACCATATTATTAAAATTAAATAGATAAAGAAAAGTATTAAATAGAAAAGAAAACTATGAAAGACTCTCATGATCATGAATGCAAAATTCCTCATCAAACAATACTTTACTGAATCCAAAAATAAATAAAAGGAATTATGAACACAGCCAAGAGGAAATTATTACAGCTCTGTAAGACTGATGCCAAATTTAAAACTCAGTTAAAATTTTCCAGGGACCAGCATACTACTGTGGGAAGTCAAGCCCAGTGGCCCAGATCCACTCACATCAGCCTCTGCAGGGCCCAGGAATGCAACACACATGCAAGGCTGATTCAGAATTAAAAAACCAATTAACATTATCCATCACAACAAAAAGCTAAATAATAAATATTGATTATATCAATAGTTAAAAAAATCAAGAATAATGAAAAAACACTCAAGCTCAAAAAAACACAGTGTCTTCATAGAGAGACAACATGATCCTCTATGCTCATGTGAATGGAGAGAAGAACACTCTCTCTGGAAGACAGTCACGCTCTTACAAAATAAACATGGTGCACTCTACAATTAATTCACGACACTCCCAGGTGTCTATGCATATGAGGTGAAAATTATGCACAGAAACTTTTCAGCAGTGACTACAGCATCCATGTCCAGAACTGCCCAAAGCTAAAAGCAAGGAAGATGCACCTTTCAATACTGAATAAACAAGGTACATTTTAACCACACAAAAGAACATCACCCAGAAAGTGAGCTCCGCAGCCTGGAAAAATATAGCACCCTTAAAGGCAGACTGGTAAGTGAGAGAAGCCAGTCTGGAAGGCCAAGTGCAGTAAGATTCCAAGTCAAGAACATTCCAGAAGAGACAACATTATAGATGCACTGATACTCTTCTGTATGACATTATTATGTAGAGTGTGTGATACACAAAATCACACCACACAGAGAAGGAACCATAGGGTAAAGCATGGATTTCAGCTGATGATAAAGTGTTGCTTCATCCAATCTCTTAATAAAATGTAGGACACTGATTCAGTAACTAACAAGCATCCAACATCAATGCAAAATATTGAGAACAGTATAGGGAAGGGTGTTTGATACTATATGTAATGGCTCACTTGAATTGTCAACCACATTGGATTAAGAGATACCTGTGATTAAGAGGCCTCTGGGTGTGTCCATGAGGGTGTGTCTACAAATGATTGGCATGTGGAACAGAGAACCAAACTAGAGAACCTCTTTAGGTACAGGCAGCACCATCTAATAGGACGGTGTCTTAGGTGGAACAAAAGTTGGAAGAAGGAGGAAGCAGCAGCAGAGAAAGGCCTTTCTTCTCCAATGGCTGCTGCAATGGCATGAGGATATCAGACTCTGCCTTCTTCACTCTCCCAAAGTGGACTCTGCCTGTGATTCTCCAGGGAATTTCCAGAACCTTTGGTCTGGACTAGGGCAGGACCACTGATCCCTCTTGTTCTGAGGCTTCAGCCTCTTGGACTCTGCAGCTACTACTTCTCAAGCTCTCCAGCTGCAGATGGTCACTGTGGACATCCAGCTTCAGGTCAAGTAGACCAATCTAATAAGTCCCCTTTTTTAATCACACTTCGTGTTGATGCTGTTCCTCTAGAAAACAATGAGTAACAAACTAAAAGTCTAAAATTGCTCTGAAAAACAAAATTGATATAATAAGAAAGTGAATGAACTACCATGCCATAAACTTTAACAAATATAAACATAAGAAACAATATTATATAATGAATACCTTTCGCAAATAATAATGCAAAAAATAAAGCAAAGAAGAAAAGTCATTGTTACAAACTTGAAAACTATGGACAAAAGCAAGGTAACTGACTTTCAATACTATTTCCATCTGGAAAGAAAATGGATGATAAATCTTTTTTTAAAAAATATATATTTATTCTTTAGTTCTAGGTGGGCACAATTCCTTTATTTAATATTTATATGGTGCTGAGGATCGAACACAAGGCCTCACGCATGCTAGGTGAGCACTTTTTCTCTGAGCCACAATCCCAACCCCTGGATGATAAATCTTTAAAAGGTATTCCAACTGTTGCTGTGGTGGTGTGCACCTGTAATTTCAGCCACTAGGGAGGTCAAGGCATAGAACTGGCAAGTTGGAGGCTCTCTCAGCAATTTAGCAAGACATTCAGAAATTTTGTTAAGCTTGGTCTTCATCAACAATAAATGGGGGGACTGGGATTATAGCTGAATGGCACAGCACTTGCTAGCATGTATGAGGCACTGGGTATGATCCTTAGCACCACAAATAAATTAACAAAAATAAGGTATTCTGCCCCTCTACAACTATACAAAATAAAAATAAAAATAAATAGGTACATAATAAATAGGAAGGGCTGAGCACGTGCTCAGTGCTCAAGTGCCTCTAGGTTTGTTACCCAGTAAAACACCTGCTCACCTCCAAAATGCTGCTCACACATTGAAATTCATTTTTTTTTGAGGACAACATAAGCATGAGCAAATCCCTGGCTTCAATCCCACCACTCAATACATCAGCAAATAAGTAAACCCCAGTCTACAATACTAATTTTTTGGGGGTGGAGAGTAGCTCAGTAGTAAGAACTTGATAGACCTCGATTCAATACTCAACAGTCCATGTACACACACATAAAAAAAAAAAAACCTGAAAATATATGTAATGAGTGATAAAAAAAGATTATAATACAAAAGATACACAATGAAAGGCAACAAAATTCAATGAAAAGACAACAAACTTTCTTAAAAAGGAGACTGAACTTGCCCATGATCTACACTTTTTGAAAAAACAAAGAGCATTTCAGTAAATTAT